GGGAAGGGCAGAGTGGGAAAGTTTACAGTGTTAATTAGTGCTGCACCAATTTGCTCAATAAATCAAGTGCAGGACAAGCCATACACCAAAAATATCAAGCATCTTTTGCTCATCCAGGTTATGGCTAACTTTAACAGTCTCTTTCATGTTTTCCAGTGCAAGTACCATCACCTATGCTAGGCTGTGCAACAGGCAAGGTGTGGGCATCCAACACAGCTGCAGACATGGCAGTCTAAGCATAGTTTACATCAGAGATGTGGGGCAGAAAATTTTCCAGCATTTTATTTTTCCATGGGAAATTTTATATTTCTAAAAATTAATTGTTTCATAAAATTCATTAGTAACAATGAATGGATGACAATATAATATTAGGCAAGCTTGACAGTTTCAAAGTTGTAATTAATGTTTTTCAGGTGATTATCCCTAGGAAGTATGTGAGTGCATATATGTTTTATTGATTTGTAAATAGGAGGATAAATACACTCGCATAATAATCCAAACCAAAAATCAAGTTATGAATTCACCTAATGGGCTACGAAGGTCAAATCAAAACCAAAGCTTAAGTTCTTATTTCATCTCAGACTGGAAGTGAAAGCAAAACCAAAACTAAGATTAATTTTTGTTTCACTTTCAGTTCAGCAAACACAGAGCAGTGTGTCTCATTTCTTTTCTTGAGTTGTGAAAGTTGGAAGTGTTTGCATAAGAGCCATTAGTTTTTAGTACTTTTGATTTGAAGTAGTCATCATAATGTCTAATCAGGAAAAAAAAACTAGTGTGTAGCATTGTTATAGTGAAGTTCAAGCCACTGAAGAAAGGAATAAAGTTGGTAGATGTCAATATTGCGAGCAGGAGTATGTTAACAACGCAACAAGAATGAAGAAACATTTAATAACACGTAGAAGCTGTTCTGAAAGAGTACAAGCCATATACAGAAAGCTAATACAACAAAGTAGTGGAACTCCATCTGAGAAAAGTCTACTTCTCAACAAGCAAGTAAGTAAATAAATCAGTAAGTTAAACAACATACAGTATAGACTAGCATCTAAATTGTTTTAAAACATTATAATTTTAAAAGTTGTTAATGCAACTCTGGATTATTTATTTATTTAAAATATTTTCATCCTGCTTCTCTGCTTGCACTAAGCACCCAAAGTGGCTTAGACATTACAATATTTTTTTATAACTTACATAACAGATAAATAGTTAACTATTTTAACCTAACAGAGCAAGCTTAGTCCTCTGGCTAACAGAAGAGGCCAAACTATACTTCCCTTTGACTCTGCAGTCCCAGAGCAACTGAGCAGCAAGTTGAGCAGCAGTGTTCTTTCTGGCAGGGAAGGGGGAAACAACCTCCCTGCCGTTTCTCTTTCTGATGGATGTGGCCAGACTAGAATCAGCTAAAATAAAAATCTTTTCCCCCTTTTGTTGCAGTAATTTGGTAGGCTCAAGTGTAATAGCAGATTTGCAAAAAATGGAAAATTAAAATGTTGAGCTGCCAGATCTGGGGGAAGCAGCAACAGGGTCCTCACTTTCAAGATCACTGTCACCAGATATGCGATCTACCAGGAATAGTTGGTCAACAGTCAAGCTTTTTAATCAAGCCTTATGGACAAAATGTCAAAAGAAGATCAAGAAAAAGCAGATGAAACATTAGCTCAAGCTATATTCGCAAGTGGTACACCTCTTTCCATAACTGAAAATCAATACCGGAAGGAACTTTACAAACTAATTCGCCCATTGTATGTTACTGTCATGTTATCGCTTTGTCATACTCTATCTAAGAGAGAATGTGATGAGTTCAAACAATGGTTATGCAAAGAAAGGATTGGTCAAACAGAATCACTGACTCTGATGTCAGATCAATGCATAAAAGGAAATCCTTTATTGAACATTATGTTAGCAATACATGAACCAATATTCCTGAAAGCAACTGCTATCAAGTCTTCTCATACAGGTGAAAGCATAGCCAAATTACTAAGTGAAGAGATTGAAAGTGCAGGTCCCTCCAGGGTACAAGCCCTTGTAACTGATAATGCAAGTAACATGAAAGCTGCGTGGCAAATATTAAAGGCAAAGTATCCTCATTTAATAGTATTTGGCTGTCTTGCTCATGGGTTGAATCTTCTAGCAAAGGACTTAGTAAGTATGAATACAATGAAGACAATATTGGCAAACTGCAAAGCGATAGTGAAGGTATTCAACAATCATCATGTTGCTAATCAGACTTTGAAGAAATTACAGAAAAAGAAGCAAGGGAAAGAAAGTACGCTTTTACTGCCAGGAGAAGCTAGATGGGGCTCAGCTACAAAACATTTACATAGTTTGTTGCACACAAAGAACTGTTTGCAGTGTGCTTCAATAGATGACACAGTATCCCAGATTACTCCCGTGAACATTTGGAAGCAGATTCTTGACAACAAGGTGTTCTAGGTTCAAGTTCAAGGACCATTCAATTTGCTACTACCAGTTTCAGTTGCTACCAAGAAACTTGAAGGAGATACACCGAGCCTTTCAAATATTCCAGATATTCACACAACTGAATGAAAATCTAACTCAGTTCATTTTTTTCACCTCTATCAAAAAAAGAAATAAAACAGATGTTTACTAAGAGATCTGAGTTTTGCACTCATCCAGTTCACCTGGCAGCAAACCTTTTGGATCCTCAACACAGGGGACAACATTTATCAGAAGATTAATTATCTACAGCTCTTGATACAATTATGGAAGTAGCTAAAAATGTCCCCAACATCGGCAAAATAGCTGTTATGACAGACATTGCCAAGTACTGCAAAAAAGAAAAACTTTGGAGCAAAGACATCATTTGGTGGGCAGCAAAGAATATTATGTCTCCTCTCACATGGTGGAAGGGATACTGTAATACCCGACTACTGTCCAGGATTGCTCTAAGGATCCTAAGCATTCCACCAACAGCAGCTTCTTATGAATGGAACTTGGAAGGCTTTCAGCTCAATCAAGACAAAAAAGAGGAACAGACTAACAAATGAATGCACTGCTAAGCTTGTTTCTATTTCTCAAAATCTCTTGCTTCTGGAGAATCAGTCAGAAGCACAAGTAGTGAACAAGATGCAGTGCGATAAGTTACCCTTGCCCATAGACGCATTGGTAAAGTCATCCTTTAGCAAAAGAGAACGTGGTTCAAGTAGTTCAGAATCAGATTTGTCTTCTTAGTTCCATTTCAGAATCAGACTAAGTAGCGCAAGTGATTCTACAGATAGTGACAGTGAAACTGGAGCTGCCGCAACGATCTCAGTGGAAGAGAGTTAAACTCTGCTGAAATAGATGAGTAGACAACCACAGCGTATCATGCACAGTTCTTTGGGTGTGCTAAAATTAGCGTGTCACCAGTTTTCAGTGCCTTCATTTTTTCTCTTTAATTTAAACAAACAATGCAAGGGAAGTAACATGCTATTGTGTAATGTCTTTACATTTTTACAAGTATTCCAGTAAAAATAATTTCTTTTCACATAAAGCTTGAATTTGACCATAACATTTAAACCACATTAAGTGGGTTGTATTTAATTTTTTTCCTAATCAAATATTCAGTTCAAATACTTGTGACTATTGGGACATAAAATTAATATGGGGGTACTTTAGTTTTGTTTACTAAATACAAGTCAAATAAACATGCTAAATCATATCAGGCTGTATTTAGGGCATTGGAAAGTTTTCCAGAAATTTTTCCAATTAAAAATTTTCTGGAAAACCCACATCTCTGGTTTACACTAGTGCTTTTCTAGATGCTTTGACCTTCATACCCTAATTATAACACCTGTCACGGCTAATCTCGATAACATTTTTAAAAATGAACAAAAGGAAAGAATGTGCAATTCAGATAAAGATGTGAGGACTCTGTTAAGTGTTTCAAACATAACAGTGTTAAGTTTACAAATGAAATACTGTAGTGTTAAAATACTGTAGATAAGATCTTTATGTTCTTAAGAAAACTCCTTTCTAAAGGACATTTCTAGAGTCACTTGATTAAATAAGCAGTAGTGAGATAAAAACCAAATCTAAGTGTACACAAAGTAAAGATAATCACAGTTCATAATTTTATTTTTAATCTTTCTAGTTTGACTTTGTGCAAGGTTATTTTCAAATACCTGTAAGAACAAGGCAGGGTTCCCCCCTCCACTCCTATCACATATATGCTAGCCCCCACTATTGTTATAATTAAGGTATGAAGGCTCAGATTCTGCAGTTAAGTACATGCTTAACTTGAAGTCAGTGGAATTATCCATATACTCGAGTGAACAAGTTTCATGCTTAAAATCAAGCATGAGCATAATTGGAACACTAGGCCTTGTTTAAGAATTAGTCAACTGTAGTTTCTTGGGATGCTGCAGAATGCCAAAGAGACTCATCTATATTACTAAGGAAGTGGCTAATCCACAGCAACTTCACTTACAGAAATGCAATTGCTACTAAAAAGTCTTTGTACATCTTAAACAAGGGTCTATCTGTTTTCTCTGGAATTTAACTGAATCATCTATTTCATCTCTACTTGCAAAACTGCTAAAATTAGGTTAAAAAACTTTCAAGCAAGAAGCAAGTATTTGCACTAATTATTCATGGACAGAGAGGCTTCTAGCAAAAGGAGACACTTGTCACGCTGAAGAATGTAACTTGACTAAACATCTGCAGTCGAAGTCATATAACATACCTGAGAAGGATGTCTGGAAATGGTATTTAGAGGCTCATTTGGCAATATAAGTTCTGTAAATACAGAACATTAATAAATGCTAGTTTTAGGAAACATCACTCTCAATGAGGCTCCATACATTTTTGTTTGTTTAATAACCACATTTTTGTCATTTGTCTGTCCCTACTACAGAGAGAGACAGAAAGGAAGCACGAAGCAAGAATGGTAAGATTAAAGGATCTCAAGGGACATAAAAACAGCTCAGCGTATCCTGCTGCACGCACACATACCACTAAGAGGCCCACCTATACACTGGAAAATACTTGCACCCACTTCCTACCTGAAAGTTGCCTCTCTCCCTGGACCTGCTCAAAATGATTCCACCATTTCCTCCTCCAAAAGGCAATGAAGAGGAGTTCTGTGGAAGGCATGTCAGAAGAAAGGGATTATGGAGTCTTCTTCCATCTCAGCTAGGTACCTTAGTAAAATGTTTAATGATTAATTTATCACAAAGCAAGAAGCACTCAAGTGTGCTCTCATGCTCTCCCTCATTTCCAACTCCTGGGACTCTAGGCACCATACATGATTTGTTAAGTTTCTTTCAATTAATGCAGGTGTGGGTGCATGGCTTGTCAAACTCACTTTCACAGTATATTGCTGTATGGTGCTCTAGAGTATACGTAGCTAACGGACCACCACTGCCTTCAAGGTTTGCATGTAAAAGTCTCTTTCCTTTTGGAAAAAAGGTTATTGCAGACTCTTGTGTCAAACTTCCAATACTTTTATCCTTTTCCAATCCAACTACATAAGCAAAATGACATTTTTCAAGCATTTACACAATTCTGTTTACAAATTAGCTGCCTGTGTTAAGCAAGATATGAGTTTTGCTTCTAATTTTATTCAAGCTCCTCTCAGCATAAAGACAATCTAACTATTTGGGAAAATGAAAACTTGAAAAAACTGGCTCCAGACAAGTAAGCAGGTTCTATAGTAACCTATGGCCAGAACTGGGACCCTTCCTATTACACAAACATCACCACAGTGGTGACTGACAGCAAGTACCAGGAGGACCATCATATAGAATACTAATACTTACTGCAGTACACTATGAAATCACAGGAAAAACTAGTCTAGAGAACTAATCTGGGGACTAAGAAGGTGCTATGAGAGGGAGAATCAGGTTATACTGGATTAGGTGTGTCAAAACTTGATGCAACAACTCACCCATACTAAATCAATGCAGAAAACCTCCCTGCTGTATTGTGGAAGCGATCAGTTCCCAAAGGACTTATCTAACTTTTTTTAAATGCAAGAGTTTCTAACTTTTGTGATTACAAAGAGTCTTTCCCAACAAGAATAGGGAAATTTTTGCTATTCTCAGGAGAGCTATTAAAACAAGTGTCAACACTCTGGCCTTGTCTAACCCTGGAATGCAGTGCACAATTTCATGTTGGTGGAAGCAGAAATGCAGCTAACCTACTCTCTGCTAATGCTGTAAGTCTTGTAAGTGTATTGCAGCTAGACAAACTGTACAAATTCTTTATGTAAACACACCCTAGAAGAATAAAGGTAGCAAAACTGCTTTGTTGATAGATCAGAACTTTAACATAAGCAAAACTGATGACCATGATGGAAATATTCTACTCTTGCTTGAAAAAGCTAAGCATTTGGAAGAGGAGAAAGGATGCAAAAATAGAGGAATGGGCAGGGCAAACAGCTCGGAGGCACTAGAAAGTGACAGAAACATGTTCCTCCTCCCAGTGGCTGTAGAAGACACTGGGGTTCACAGTTCTCCAAATCTGCCAGATATTAGCCAGCCAGCTGTTGATAAGCGATACTGAGTCATATCAGCATCAGATGAGAACATCCTGCACTTTTGACAGGTACCACGAGGACAAACCAAACCTTTTCCACTGCTTTAAGGCTCAGATGACAGATTACTCTCCTCCTCTTATATTTTGGTTTCCAACTAACTTGTTTTCTAGTTAACAGATACCTTGTAAAAATTACTGACTCTGGAGTCTAACTTCATTAGAATACCAAAAATGTTTGTATGCAAAAGATTTACTAGCACTTACGATGTTTTTAAGTGTGTATTAGATGTTAAAAGTTCAAGTTCAGCTTTTAGTATCATTTGAAAAAGACGACATTATGGCTTGACAGCTAATGAGTCAAAATGTTAATATATTAATTACACTCCAAACACCTACATCACAATTTAACCTATAAGATGCCACCCTGCTCCGTCTTCTACATATCACTATATCCAAGTCATGTTATGCAATGTAACCTTTTACCTTTTTCTCCTAATTTTCAGAATGAAGTTTTTGGTTTGTTTTTTTAATGGTTTCTAGTAGATATAAGCTTTAATATGTTAAACGGTACAATTTTCTGCCCTCAGGGTTGCCCTCGCTTAAGTAAAAAAGGTATACTGTTGTTATTATTAAGTTTGGGCAATCCTGAGGGCTTGCCTATGCGAAACTGTACCACTTAAATTCCCCCAGCATGGACACAGCTATGCATCTGTTTATATCAGTAATGATTATCTCCATATGGGAAAAGAGGTAAGTTTCTCTGGCTACCTTTGACACTTCCATAGTAGTGTAAATGTATGCAGACCAAGAGGTGTATCAATATTAGTATATAAGGGGGAAAAAAAACCTAATTTATCCAGAGACACAATTTGTGAGAGAGGAGATTTCTTAAGGTGATATCCTGGCCCAGCTGTATAGTTTGGATACAATCAGACAAGCTTTCAAATGAAGTGAAGAATGCTTTGCATTTGAAAGCTTGTCTAAATTTATCCCAACCACACAGTTGGCCCAATAAAAGGCATCACCCTAAGAAATCCTTGCGCCTCATACGATTTCTGGGCCACCATAGCTTCAACATCACTCTTATGCTACCGTATTTAGGTCTGTACAGCGTCTACATAGACCAGGCCTGAATATAAACCCAGCCTCAAGTGGCAAAGTTTAGCTGATCAAATAAGGCAACGCTGGCATAAACCCCAACCTGTGCTCAGCTACTGACAAACTACAACCAATGACGTCCTGGAGCAGCCATCCCAACAGCTGGGGCCCCCCTTCTGCCTTCTACCACCACCACTTGAAGGCAGCCTCAGAAGATATTTGACAGCCGTGTTAAAATATGAGACTAACCCAATGTAGCCGGCGCTCTCACGCAGGCCAAGGGGCTGCCTATGCCACAGCTTCCCAAGGCCTTGCTCACACCAGCAACGCCGCTGCCCAAAGTCTTGGCAGTGCTCAGGCAGACGCAGCCAGGGCCCAGCCAACGCCTGAGATGGGGGACGGCGGAACTGCAGGAGCGAAGCTGGTTCCCAGCCTGGCACGAACTCCGGACTGGTCTGCTCAGGGCGGCTCCCCGCGGGGGAAGGCCTCGGGGGAACACGGGCCGCTCCGCTCCTCCACGCTTCCCTGCGGCCAAGTCAAACGGCCCCCGGGAAGGTGCAGGCAGCCACCACGGCAGGAGGGCTGCGCCCGGCCCGTCCGCAGGGT